ATGGACACGTGCCAAGTATCTCGTATTGATTGACAGCTTGATCGAGTAGCTTAGATACAGGAGACCATTGTTGACAGATTGTTAGTTTTTACATTGTATTGTATGATGTAGGTTAGTTGCCTAGAGAGAGTGAGGGAGTACTGTACCTGAGAACCGTGAACCGTGAATTAAATCATCTAAAACCAAGTTTATACTGTGATATCGTGAAGTTTGGCCCTAGGGCATTCGCGACAAGTGGCACCTCCAACAGGACACAAGATATCCAAGATGGAAGAGAAACTGACGAAATTAAACGCGAAATTGGCGCTGTTACATCTGACACGTGGGAAAACCGATGGAATTGTCGGCACTGGTAATGTCGAGAAAATTCGCCAACAAAAAGAAGCATTGCAGGCCATTGTTGGTAGCCAGAAGGGCTAAAAAGGGAACTTGAAGGAGCCAAACTGGAAAACAGAGAAAGCCTAAACAAGGTAAGGGAATGGGGGCAAGAAATTGAAGAAAGAATTGAAAGTCTTGACAATGAGATTAAGGTTCTTGAAACGCGCGTGAAGTCAGCCATTGCCGAAGCCGAAAAACACCGAGAGAGAAAAGCAAGAGAATCTGCCGGCTTGCAAGCGCGAAGAACAACTAAAATTCGAGAGGCAACAGCTGGAGCAAAAAGAAGAGTTCAGCTCCAACCTAAAGGATTCAACGCAGAATTTGCCTTCTCACTCAAGCAAACAAAGTGTCAAATTGCCCAAGCTTGTTATTACGAAATACAATGGAGCTCTTGGGAATTGGCTGTTGTTCTGGAACAAATTTGAAGTAGAGATCAAAAAAGCGGATCTGCCTGCAGTAACAAAATTTGCTTATCTGAAAGAGCTGGTGGAGCCCCATGGGAAAAAGGGCATTGATGGCCTTCCCTTTTCCCCAGAAGGGTACGAGCGAGCTAAAAACATTCTCAAAGCAAATTATGGGAAGACATCCCAGATTTCAATGCCTATGTTAAAAATATTCTAGCACTTCCAACCATTTCCAGAACGAATGCAGTGAAAATACACGATTTTTATAAGAAACTGTTGTACAATGTGCAGTCGCTAGAAACGCTTGGCAAAATATCTGAATGCCTGGTGTTGGTGCAAGGAGTGCTTAACAAGCTGCCGGGAATTAAAGCAGAATTAGTCCAAGGAAAACCAAACTGGCAATCCTGGAACTTCACGGAACTGACCAGTGCCCTCCGTGCGTGGATGGAGATCCACCCACACAAGTCTGTATGATCTCGCGAGGCCCCAAGGACTGCTAGTTCGTCTGGCCAGAGAAGTTTTCACATGCAAGAACACAGCACAAACGCGTATACACCAAGGGGGTGTGTCTATTGCAATGACGCCTCACACAAGTCCAGTGAATGCACAGCCCTCTTGAGCCCTGCTGAGCAAAGGAATTTCCTACAAGGAAAGAGGCTATGTTTTAACTGCACCGGCCCACATCGAGCAGCACATTGCTGAAGCCGTGGGAACTGTGCACATTGCACTTGATTGACTGTAATTGATTTACGCGAGTTGGTTATTGGTACCGCTTAGGTTTAGTGTTTCTCTCCTTTGGAGACAAACAGGCGGAGTGTGTTGGAGATTGCATGACTAATACAAACATTTCAAGATAATTATTTCGAGCGCGACCCTTTAAAACATTTGATGATAGGATATTTAGATTACATGTCAATGACAGTCAGAAATCAAAGATGGACACATGCCAAGTATCTCGTATTGATTGACAGCTTGATCGAGTAACTTAGATACAGGAGACCATTGTTGACAGATTGTTAGTTTTTACATTGTATTGTATGATGTAGGTTAGTTGCCTAGAGAGAGTGAGGGAGTACTGTACCTGAGAACCCTGAACCGTGAATTAAATCATCTAAAACCAAGTTTATACTGTGATATCGTGAAGTTCGGCCCTTGGGCCTTTGCGACAAGGTTAATGTTGGGTTAGGGGAGGGGTAGGTGGCCCAGATATTGATATTGATCCAAAGTTTGCATGATTAAAAGTAGCAAACTGCCTTGTGCATGCTCTTCTACTGTACCCCAAACTTGTCCAATTTCTTGAAAGTGTTAAAATTGGCATTTAACATTCTGATAGAGAAGAGCTCTGTTTCGATCTCTAATATGAGCATAAAATGAATGGGTACTTTCAAGATTTGAGGGAATTTATGCCACAGTTAGCTGAGTTTTACTGGAAATTGTACAAGCATGATGAGTTTGACTGGTTCAAAAAAGCCCTTCACTTTCAAGGTTGCCATCGGTGGTGATGGTGCACTATTTGGGAATATTTTCTGCATTTCATTTTCACAAAGATGGAGCTGCTAACCCATGAAGCTAAAATTAAAGGGAAACATTTGGCATCCCTCGAGCTGTTCCTCCAATCTTCTATTAAAATCCCCTTGTCTAGCAAAAAATGCCTGCAACTGCTCTATAACTCTTGAACTCTAATCAGAGATTTGACTGCCAAGTTATCTTCTTGATGTTCTAGTCGACCACAAGCTTGCACGTCATGTGAAACAATCAGTGTGGTCGAAGTTCTGGTGAACTTGGTGGTAGTACTACAAGTGTTAGAGCCTCTGGAACGTCTATTTGGTTTCTCTCCCATGAAAAGGCGTTTCGACTTACTCAGGATTTGCCTTGCCATGGATTTCGAGATGAAAGCGAAGAACTATCCCGCCTAAAGCTCAAACACAACTCATCATCTCGTCATGTTTGTTTATTAACCACTTTGAAGATCATTTTGATACTTAACTGGTCCATTCAGTTCTCTAGTTGAATCCCCGCTGTCTCCGTCCCGTCTGATCCTCTTTACTGCAAGCACATGCATAGTATTTCTTCTGCTGACCAGAGAGCCCAAGTTCATCATCATCGAAAAAAAATTATAGGATCGGTGTATATTTCGCTGCACATAAACGGTTAAATGGGTCATTGGTTTTCTTTTTTGCGGCAACTGATGTCAACTAAACAAAAATTCTGCGAGCATTGCCGAGAATTCGTCTATACTATAACGTACAGGCAGCATTTAGTGCACAACTGTGCAGTCCTCTTGCCCCCACCTACAAAAAAATGCAAGCATTCCCAAGACTTCGTCTATACTAGAATGTACAGGCAGCATTTAGTGCACAGCTGTGCAGTCCTCTTGCCTCCACCAGCAAAAAAATGCAAATTAGATGGGGTCAAGAACCAAGTCCCTTTCATAGTGTGCCTTTGTGTTTTAGAAGTTGTTCCTGTCCCCTTCAGGGAGGTGTAAGTTACTCAAGGCTTGACTGTATTTTTCATGTTGTCATGGTCCACTCAGCACTACATGTACATATAACAGTATTACACCAACTGCTATCAATTTTGAGGTGTGAATACCTTTAGAAAAAATGTGTGCAGAATAACAGATGCGTAACTCTTTCAAAATTATCAGATTTTGATGATGTTCCTATCCACAATCTCGAAGAAAAAGATTACCATTTAGTTCACAGTTTTGATGAAATTGTCTGTGGTGCAAGTCCACCTTCACATGTCAGTGTTGTGTTCTATTTTGGATGAGTGATCTGCGCAGTTGGTGCACACCTCCAATGCCACTTCTTTTGTACTTTGAGGAAAAAGTGCATCTATGGTGATCCTGAGTTAAGACCACAATAAAGTGATATAATTAACTAATTATAATTGATATTAATTAATTGAAGTGATTAATGTATGTGTACTAACATACAATCCTGTTGAAGCTGTTCACTGTTTCTTAGCAGGGTTTTCATTAACTTTTAAAGTAGAAGGGCACTGCCTTGTGAGTAGGCAGGTACCCTTCAAAATTGAGGGCCAAAGGCCCGAACCTCTGGGGGGATCTGGGGGCATACTGCCCCAGGAAATTTTCAAAACATAAGTCTACCAGAAACGCATTTTCCTGTAGTCTGGAAGAGAAATCTTCTTGCAATAATGCATACTTAATCTAATTTTAGTAACAAGAATGGTACTCTGGGAGAATTTGTTTATTTCACTACACAGCTACATCAAAACACTGCTGTTGTTCTCAGAGCCTCTTTTCTTCTTACAGGTACAGGTTAACATCAGCTTATAAGCTGATACAGAGAGAAACTAATAACACTTTTTGAAGTTTAAGAAAACTCAAAGTCAGAGCCGTAGTGAGAAGAATCTTTGGCATCCAAATCTGGCAGCTCCAAGGCTTTCGAGGTTTCCTCTACTTCTTGTTCAACAGAACATAACAACTAGTCGTTATCATCAGTGGCCTTTACATCAACATCATGTACAATTACCACAGGAACATCCTCATTTGTAGATCCTGCACCTGGTGGTGGTGGTGGTGGTGGTGGTGCTGTGTTGAAAATCTTTGTAGGGCACTTGCGATGAGGTTTAGCTGCCAACCAAGATGAAACAGCCAAATCAATGAGATCTTCAAATTCCTTGCTCCCAAGTGCTGGGAAATCAAAATGTGGAGAAGAGTGTGCATGTCATTCTGCATTCTACTGCAGAGTCTAGTTTTGAGAAGCGTCAAGGCACTTGCTCCTCTCTCAGGCAATTCATATCAGTTAAACAGAACTGGGGTAAATAAAGAACCTGTTATCAAGCCTTTAAAGAATGCCTTGGACAGTGACTTGAAGAACTCTGGCACTGTATGTCAGTTTAGAAATAATCTTTTGAATCTTTTAATCTATAGCTTACTTTTGTACTCTTTTAATATCTGCAATTTTTATTTACTTTTAACAATTTAATGTTATTTTGGATTAGGACTTCTCTGTAGATCACCTACAAGTGAGAGAGCTTCCTGTTTAAATATCATTATACAAGCATTTTTCAGACTTAGGGGCGATCTTATGTGTGGGTGGGTTTTTGTTTGTTTGTTTTTTTTGTTTCATTTGATGAAGACAACAAAAGAGCGATCAGCATTCTATTAAAAGCAATCGCTTTGTTTAAGACACAAACTGATGGCAACTAGAAAAACGTTTAAGTGCATTGAGGACTGATACTCGCTAAGTAATGTTGTCGAAATTTAAGGTTAAGTCTGTCAGCGGTGGGAGTTTTCTAACTCATTTTCAACACAAGCGAGCACAGAGTTGCACACTGGCACAGACACAACCATCTCTTACAGAGGTTTATGAGGCCGAAATAAGGCGTCTTCGGAAAGAGAACCACAATTTGAGAATTCAGCACAACTCCATTGCAACTCAGCTGAATGAAGTCGTAACTCAGCTTCAACAAGCAAATGCTGAAGGAATGCTGCTAAAGCAGAGAATTGCAGAGACTGAAAATGTTTTCTACAACACCAAACAGGACTTCTGGCAATTAACATCTGCAGCCAGAAATAATAAGAAAAGACGAGTCAGGCAACTAGTGGCTCAATTGGTGGAAAGACTGGAGGAGTTTGAGCCCATCGAGGTACATAACAATTTTACTTTTTTGTAAAAACTAGAACTGAGACATTGACCAACAATGGTGAAAACTTGTAATGGTCACCAAATCTCCTAAAGATCACACAAAGCTTTCTCAATGGCACTTTGTAGGTCACAGAGAGAAGGTTCGCCGGGACCTACAGTTTGGAGCCAAGATCGCTTAATCTTGAAGATAAGGCTGGTCGCCTAGTAAACATAACCTTAGCCTCGCGGCATTTTCCAGTAAAAACTTGACTGAATTTCACTAATAACAAATTTCAGTCTTTTCCATGTCAATTAGTACAAAAGTTTTGTGTCTGATGTCTCTTGCTGTTTCTTGCAGAAAATACCGAAAATATTGCTTCTGCAAAAGGAAGACAGGAGTTACCACGCAAATCAACAGTTACAAGTACGTTGAAAGCGGTAATATCTAACTGCTTACATGATATTGTTACAACTCAAATATTGCCTTAAAAATGCTAGCCAAGTTGTTTCTGAAAATTGCAAATTAAGTCGCTATCATAAAGATTTTTTCCTACCAAAATAAGTAGGATGTAAGACTGTAAAAATTACACAATTGGGGGACTAGAAAATCAAAAAACTATGAAAGTAAAATATATTTGGCTCCTTAAATGTGATGGACCACCTATTTAAAACTAAATGTAAATCAATCTTTAAGAACATTTCCAGCATATAAAACAACTTTGATGTAACAACAATAACAATATTATTTCATTTTAGGGGACTAAATACAGGCCTGTGAGAGCCTTCCAGAAGAAGAAAAGGAGAAGATTAGAACAATACTTTGCATCATGGACCGATTTTCCCTTTCATTGAAGGGTTACCATGAGCTCACCCAAGTGGAAAAAGCCCTCCCCCGAACCCACCTTAAGGAGAGCTGTGCAAGGACTCCAGATAGGAAGTGGAATGTACAAAGAACTCCTGGTAGAGCACAAGGTGCTGAACTGCCTTTCTGGAAATCGGAAATTTTGTAAGTTGTATGTCTCTGATGAACCTTTTCATAAATACCACAGAAAATACAGTGACTTATGGGACCACCATTTACGCATTTTCTTCGCTTGCCTTAAGTCTACACTTTACTTCTTTTACAGGTTAAGAACAATGCAGTTGGCACTACTAAAATGAAAGTTAAAATATCAGGAGATGGAACAAGGATTTCCCATAGTAGTAATTCGTTCGTTTGCTCATTTGCCTATGTGGAAGATGGTAAAAGATGTTTGTCTAGTGCAGGTACACTATATACCATTCTTTTGTTGTAGGTTAACAAAATAATGACATTAACATGTACTTTTTCTTTAGGGAATCATACAGTAGCTATAGTGAAGGGCAAAGAGGAATATGCAACTCTCAAGGAGTCACTTGTGAATGTGGTCAAGGATGTAAACAATCTGATTGAGAAGGGCTACATCCTAGTTGATGAAAGACAGAAAAAGCCAGAGTTTTACCTCGGAGATGATAATAAGGTTAAGAGTCATACAAAAGTTAACCTTCAATAACAAATCAGCTCTCTATAAAGTAGGAAAAAATGATTCTTTAAGATTCATAAAAGTTTTAGGCATCAGTTTGATCTCCACTGTTTCACTTTTATAACAGTTCCTTCTGCTAGCCATGGGTATGAAAGGAGCAACATCTAACAATAGCTGCATTTGGTGCAAAATCCACAGGAACGAGCGTTACTTACCTTTCATGAACTCCATTATTTTAAACATTGTACTAACTTTCAAGGCTTTTGGAGTAAGTTCCCTAGCTTTCTACAGTCACCACAGCTTGAGACAGAACCTCTAGGAGAAAATGATAACTTCCTTCTCAAGAAATCAATGGATGTGATAGATAAATGAACTGAAATGAAGTGAATGGCTTGACATCAAATTGTATTTAAAATACTACACAAGATCTAACACAACCTTCAAAAAAGGGTGTACCATGGGTTCGTAATAAAGAGAGGGGTGCTATGCGTTGGGTAAGGGACCCTCCTTGTTTGGTTCTTCAGTGGGTGGATAGCAAAGTAGTATCATTGTTATCAACGATTGAGAGAGCTAATGATCATGGTTTTGTCAACAGGAAAAGAAAGGATGATGATGTGTGGGCCATAAGGGAAGTACAACAACCTAAAGTTATTGCTAATTACAACAAATATATGAATGGGGTCGACCACTCTGATCAAATTCTAGCCACAAATACCGTACTACGTAAGACCATGAAGTGGTGGAAAAATATGGTTTTCCACCTAATTGACATGGCTGTAGTCAATGGCATTATCCTTTTCAAAGAGCATCAGACTCAGTTTCCTGACAATGAAGCTCTAAAAAGGCCCTCTCATTATTCTTTGAGTGATTACCGGGAAGAAATTGTTAGGCAACTCTGTGGTTTCCCCGATTATGGTAGTCCCCCAGAGAATACCACGGTGAAATCACCCCCTTCCACCCCAGAGGATTTTACAACTGTCCATATCCCAGTTTTCTCTGACACTCAGAGACGCTGGGTGGTATGTCATAAAGAGGGTAAGGGAGATTTTAGGGTTCGATCTTATTGCAATGCCCCTCAATGTCAAAAGTATATGCATGTCAGTAAGGGTTGGGATTGTTTTGCAGTGTTTCATTCTAAGAATTACCACAGGTAAATTTCGCTGTTGTTTATTCCAATGTTTTCAGATGTTGCGTTTCTCAAAAATATCAACAACAACAAAAAAAAAATTTAAAAATATCAACAAAAAATTAACTTTTTTTACCTTGTTGCTATAAAAACTTAATAATCATCTTGCTTCCTTGTCATTTCAGAATTTAAGAGAGCTGCTAGACATCCTGAACAAAGATAATTAGTCAGATGATGACATAGCAGAATTTGAAACCAAGGTTAGAAAACACATTAAACATACAAGCACAATCTTGCTCATAAACTTGCCAATATGTTTGGTTGTTTGTTTTTTAGCTTCTAGTTATTATGCGCACATGTGTTACTCTCACTTTAAAAGGGTTTTCATCATCATCATGTAACTAAAAAAGTTTGTTTACTCTTGCAGGCACAAAGGTGGGGAAAACAGATAATGGATATGTCTGGCACCGGTCCTGGGTATTCTCAGACCATAATCATCTCCCCATACACACACAACTTGGTGTACCATGTCCCAGTAATGTTGCAAAACAATGAAAGTCTTAAGGTGGTAGTTAACCCTTATTTTGAGAAAAAAGTCAACAATTTCTTAAATTCTCCACTGGGGCTTCCTAAAACCCTATTTATTCAACTTTTATAACCCGCTTTCATTTTTTGAAAAATTTGAAAATCCCGCTTGAAACGGCTAATTAATCAGAAAGTGGCCTAATAATTGTCCATAGCAACCGTCTGTTTACACTTTGTTTATTATGGTTGCCATGGGTTTTTTTGACCCTGCGCTGGGTCAAAAGTCTCCGAAATCCGTTTCCACAGTCCTCACAAGCCGAATTCCATAGACTCCAGTGCTGATTTTCATTAGCGTAACCATGATGCAGCGGGAGCCAGTAAATTCTCGTTTCTTCGATTTTTTCGAAAGCTTAGAGGAAGGTGAAGTCGGATTATTCTTTCAAACATTTTTGCTTGTTGTACTTTGTGAGATGGCGAAGCATGGTGAAAGAAAATTCAGATCCGTTAGGAAAAAAAAGGAAGGGTTTTTGCGGCACTACTGGGTCAAAGAAACGTCCAAAACTGACTAAAGAACCAGATCAAGATGGCCTTGCAGGAAGTAAACTCGAAGTTAGTGACAACAGCGACGCCAGTGAAAGTGAAGAATTGCCCATGGAAGTCAATGTTTCCGCCTCAAAGCTTCAGAATTCTTCGTTTTCGATGTATGAAGAGCAGGAAGGCATTCTAACCCGTAAGAAGTCGATAAATGTTGGGCTCGGAGTTCCATCAGTAAATTGTGACAACATTGCAAGTGGTTATAAAATTCAAGATGCCACTTTACTTAGAGATTGTATCGCCTCAGCAGCAATTTGCAGTTTCTGCCGCAAATCTCAATCAACTTTGCAACTTTTTCAGCGAGATTATCAGAGAGAAGGACTTGCTGAATGTCTTTTTCTTAGATGTTCAAATTGTCATCATGAGACTGAGTTGAAAACAAGTAAGAGACTGGGAGGTGTTGGTGGAGGGGCTCATGAAGTCAACAGGAGGTCGGTATTGGCTTCTCAGAAACTTGGCCAGGCTGGTTTGGCTGACTTTTGTGCTAGAATGAATTTCTGTCCACCAGTGACCAAGAAATCTTACAATGATCATTTGATCCAAATTGAAAAGGCAGCTGTAGAACATGCTAGAACTCAAATGCAGGATGCTGCTGGGAGGCTGTCGGATCTGACAAAAAATAAACATCCTAACAGCATTGAAGATGAAAATGGAACCGAAGTGGCTAAAGTAGCTGTTACAGTTGATGGCACATGGCAGAAAAGGGGCCATTCCTCAAAGATTGGTGTGGTGTTTGTCATTTCAGTGGCAACTGGAGAAATTCTGGATTATGAGGTCAAATCTCTTGTTTGCTATGAGTGTCGAGCTCGTGAGCATATGGACAGAGATTCTGAGGAATACAAAGCTTGGAAAGCCAGCCATACAAATTGCCACATTAACCATTCTACCAGCTCTGAGGACATGGAGGCTTCTGCAGCAGTAGAAATGTTTGGCAGAAGTGTAGAGAAGTTGCATCTCAAGTATACAACTTTTGTCGGAGATGGTGACAGTAGTTCTTTTGGTCGAGTGCGAGAAGCCATGACTGCAAAATTTGGAGACAAATATCCTGTAGTCAAAGAGGAGTGTGTGGGCCATGTGCAGAAGAGAATGGGTACAGCTCTCCGAAAGTTTAAAAAGGAAATGAAGGGAAGAAAGCTGGCAGATGGAAAAGGTGTCGCTGGAAAGGGAAGGCTCACTGACAAAGTTATCAACCGCATTCAAAACTATTATGGTAATGCTATAAGAGAGAATTGTGGCAACCTTCAAGGGATGAAAGAAAGCATTAAAGCAATTCAGTGTCATATGATAGTGGATGAGGACATGTCACTCAAAAAGCAGCACAGACACTGTCCAAAGGGTAAAGACACATGGTGTAAGTTCTGGGCTGACATGCATAATAAGACAAACACCTACGACAACAGCAAGCGTCTTCCTGCAGTTTTCATGAAAGAGCTGGACCCAATTTTTAAAAGATTGTCAGATAATGCTCTTTTATCAAGATGTCTTCAAGGTTTCCTCAAAACCAGAATGAAAGTGTCAATTCTCAATTGTGGTCCAGATGTTCCAAAACTACCTTTGTTGGAGTTCGTAAAGTTCAAATTGCTGTTTGTGAAACTGTGGCTGTGTTTAACACTGGGGCAGCCAGCAAAGCAGTCATTATGGATCTCAGTGGGGTTAATCCTGGTCAAAGTATGTTGAAGGCCCTGAGAGATCAAGACAAAAGAAGGATCGTAACTGCTGGACGAAAAGTTTCTGTGAAGTACAGAACACAAAGGAAGATTTTACGGGCAAAGCGAAAGTCAAAAGGGGAAGTGTCATACTCTTCAGGGGCTTTTGGTCTTGATTCAAAGCCTGAGATATCAGTTAAACAAGGAATCAAGAATATTAAGTCCAAGAAACACATTCAGGAGTTACCATCCACTAGTAGAGAGCAAACTGTGGAGATAAAATATGTGGAACCCATTTTTGAAGTTGTGGTCACTCCAAAAGAGTAGGGTTCATGAAGAGGACTGAACTTTTCCACATTTAACCATCTAATCTAGCTGGAGAAAGGCCTTCAAATTAATATTTACTTCCTAGTGCAACACAATTTCAAGAAAATAACTTTCTTGACAGAATGGGGGGATGTTATGGTGAATTTTACTCACAGCACATGTCTTGGACTTTAGAAGCAGTTTTCTTAAAGTTATATGTTTAAGAATTGTCTATCTTGTGGCAGTCATATTTTTGCCAGTTTTCAATGGATTGAGTTTTCAAAGCTTATTCAAAGCTATTTCTTTCACCCCAAATAAATATTTCAAGTGCAGACAAGAATGTAAGGTGAAAAAAAATTGCATTTATCATGGCGAATGTGTCAATATTATCCAAGTAGAAAGGAAAAATATTCCTACCCAAGTAAACTTCGTGTCGCTAGCCACTACCACCATTTTCTTCTTCTAACGTAAAAGTAGAAGTGCGCGCAGACAATCCTGTTGAACGACTGCATGAACCACAGGACTTCTCCCCAGGCCCTTCCAGAAAGTGTCAAATTTTTGGCGTATTTCTCGCCGTCACAACTGACAACTGAAAGAAGCACAGGCGAAAACTGCCAAAGAAGATGTCTGGTTCGGGCAAAAATGATCACTCTAGATCTCAGAGTCTCACAGTAAGACAGTTTCTTTGCAATCCCAGGCACCATATTTATGTAGGCTAGTGTAAATTGAAAATATGCATATATGGTATGATAAATTAAGTCAGCTTTAGTTGGGGTTGCTGTTTTGAGACCTTCAGTGTACCTTCGGCCAGGGACTATGCTGAATGCAACGAGACAAAAGCTGGGATTGCCAATCACCTGGCGTTTGGGAACACTCATGCGAATGATGCAAATGATGACTGGATCAATGTTGCTAGCACTGGATCTCACAGCACAAAGGTTCTGCATTTACCATCCAAGTCAACACGCCCATTAGTCAAACAGACCTACCTATGGGAACCAGAAGCCCTGTTCCGACAAAGTATGATGTCAAATGCCCACTGCGTAAAGCAAGTCAATAGCTGCCACTATTCAGAGGTAAAACGGTCAAGGTTGTACATAGCAGAGGACTGTGCAACAACTGTCTTAGAACTGAAAACGTGGCAATGTTCTGCCCTAAGGAAAGCTACTGCCAGATTTCTGGATGTAAAATAAGTCATCGAAAGCATTTCACATTTCAGCACCCCAGAGGTGACAAACCAGTCAAGATGGAATCACCTGCAGCATCTGAGGCCCAGCCAAGCAATGCACAAAATGACAGACCGAATGATGAAGCGCTAAGGTGTTTCATGGAAGTAGTTATATGTGAAAGCCTGTGTAGTGCTACTGCAGCCAGTGTATCGTCTATGAGGCTTGCAATTCATTGGCAGAAATATTGGACAAGAT